TATATATAACCTTTGTGTACAATGGTGCTCTTCCATAAGCGCCACCTACTGTCAGAGAGGGAATTTGCATTTTCATTTAGCCAGTCTGACATTTTTGTGTAGACCAGTTATATAATGCCTAATCATTTATTAGGCTGAAATGTGAGGTTTATCATTTTAAAACTTACATTAATGTGTTATTTCAATGGTACAGTTTCATACAGTATAGAATGTTATAGACATTGGTGTTATTTCAAAACAACTTTGCTACCAAAACGTAGTTCAATTTTAATTTTCAATTTTCAACTGCTGATTACAATAAATTTTCAGAAGAAAAATTCCACATTCCCCCTTTTTGCCGGTCTGGAGTTTGCAGGTTAATTCACAAAGCACATATTTAGGTGAAAAATGTACAGTTAAAGTAGAACATCTGCAATATTATGTAACTAGATTATAGGACAAAAAGGGGTAAAAACCTGTTCAAGAATACAACTATATGGATAATACACAAGTCCTTCCACAAGTACTGTAAGTAAATGGAAAATGTCCATTTCTATTCACTAAGTTAAGCTGACATTGCAGCATTGTAAGAACAAATGTTGCCCTTTAACACACTTTAAACAGCTATGTTTAGTTTACTCACCAGCTCTCAGACTGTACAGAATAAACAGATGTATAATGATAAATCATAATTCAGTTCTCTTGACATTTAGGACATAAACAGTAGACATTTTCAGCCATTTTGTTTGCACTGAGGGGCCTGGTTTCTAACAAAATTCAATTCAACATATTAACAATCATCAGTCATTATCAAATTGAGAGCAAATATCGACAAAAAGACAATTTGGAATAACAGTTGGTGTGTAATATGTTTATTGTTGGTTGAATAGAAAAAAGAAAAAAAAAAACATTTATTACAGGATCAAAAAAATACTTCTCACATAAACACAAAATTACACATTTCTAGCAGCTCACCTTCAATAATCCTTTAAAATCGCTAATATTTCATGATGAGGATGAGGATGGTGAAGATTGAGGTTCAGAAAACAAGTGCTACAGTTGTGTAAAGTGAGAACAGTTGAAAAATAGAGAGAAACACAATCATGACTGATTTACTGACCTTTTATGGTAGTTTAGAATGAGAAATGACTGTTAATTGAAGCCCTATCGCCTGTATCAGGCTTTACAGCATGTGTTGCTATAGTACATGTAAGCACCAGGTGGGACGGACACTCTCCAGACACAAAGCGTTTGACCCTTCCACCGTTTGGACCCCTAAAGGTCAACTCTGTGTGTATGCATATATATGAGAAATGTACTTAAATGTAAGTACAGTTTTTGTTGTGTTGACAACTGTAAACAATATAATTGAGAAGCCTGGTGGAAATGTAGTTTAGAGTATTTTATGTGCAGGCACAAGGTACATCAGAAGGGCAGAGAGCCGTCTAAAGTATTGATCCGAAAGCTAAAGAGACCTTTACTATGTTTACGCACCAGCTCAACATTTACAGAAAAATAAAGTTTATTGCGTCCCCTAGATTAAATTCCTTCTGCAATATGCATGAACACAAACAGATAAATAAAAGTATATTATCTGGCCTTTAAATTAAACTGCATTTTGAAAAAAAAAAAAGGTGACGTGAGGTAAGAAAAAAGTAAATTCATTATTTTAGTAGGAAAATGGTCATTGTGAAATAGTTTTTTACTCATGAAGTGAGGTTAGTCATTGAAACACATCGGAAAGAACCTGAGTGGTTGGGCAACGTTAAAAATAAAATAAAAAGAGTTCTCAATTTAAGCCAAAAGAGTAAAATGCAAAGTCAAGTTACATATTCAGAGTGACTTTTGCACTGATGTTTAATCATTAAAAACAAAACCAGAATTAAAGATGAGAGAGACAGACAGACAAGCCACGGTCCCTACATACAAGTTTGGCTGAAACTGGACAAAATTATTTATGGAAGACATAAGCGGTGTGAGTCAGACTGCAGGAGTCTGTATCTATGAAAACAAGAGCATCTGAAAAAGCACTCAATTTCACTCAATTATTTTGACATTATGACATTTCCATAAATTAAGCATTTTCCCGCACAATTATTATTACTGTAATCCAAAAAAGTCTGGGGTTTTTTTGCATTACAGTAATAATAATAGTACATTAATGTAATGTGAAAAACATGATAGTCAAGTTATGATATTCACTGCCTTTATGCAGATTTTAATAGATTTTAATGTTCTTGACTATATCACAATGGGGGGGTTCCCCCACTCTGGTCTACGCATCCCTGCCTCTGCTGAATTTTTTTTTATCTCTGGTGGGGATAAAAACATCCTGCGAACAGCTCTGAACAGATTTGAATCAAATGATTCGCGATAAATACATTTAAATACAGCCTACAGTTTCAGTCGTATTAAAAACATTTTGTGACATGACGCATCAGGTACTTAAAAAGACGGGTTTATGATGTGCTTTAACAGATTACAGTAACATTAGGTTATTTTAAAGCCTTTCTCTGAAAAAAAGTTTTAAAAATCACCCCCCCCTGCTTTTTTCACAAATCGCACCCTGTATATACGACCTACATATTTTTTTTCTTGAGATTTACCCAATTCACCTATTCAGACTCCAAATGCCTTTATCAATAAAATATGTGGTACATAACAGATTTATGAATGCGTGCAATAATACACTGGCAGGTGATGAAATATGAAACACGTCTGCACTCCCTGAGTTCCTAAAAGTCTGAATGTGTCTGTCTCTCTCATTCTTTGTCCCTCACACATATAAAAACACAGCTACCAGTCACAAATGGCACGACCAAAACTCTAAGGAAGGATGATCAATTGGATAAGGATTAATTTGCAGGGCCTGCTATATGAGCACCAATAATCACATGCTGATTAGAGAGACATAAACGACAGGATCCATGAATCTGCACAAACCACTGTAGGAGGCAAATCAATACAACAAAGTGCACCAGGGTCTAACACTTATCAGTATGAAACCATAAAACAGACGTCTGAGGTATGCACGATTTCATCTTTTTCCAATAAAGACATCAATTCATCTAAAACAAGCATCTTTAGTCACCACATAACACCATCACACAGTACTAGCATCTGAAGAGGTGTCTTGTGGTCTAGTTGCTTTTGTGTAAAAGCGCCGTCTCCTGGTTAAACCTGCAGGACGGGGTCGGTTGAGGCAGTTTGGTTAAGATCGTGACCATTTTTTGTTTTTTTTAAACAGGGCATCTAATGAGTTCTGAGGAAAATGTACCCGAAACAACGTTAATTAGCTTATATGGACAGATCTCCATGACAACACGGACAGAAACTGGTGGTTAAAGGGCTTCAGGGAAATAGTTGACAAATAGACGGATGAAATTGCAGAGAGAAACTACAGCTCTGTTCCAAATACTAGCGAGCTGCCTTGATGCCTATGGCCTAAATCAGCATCCTAACCTCACAAACGCAAATAGCAGTCAATTCACAATCGATTTCAATAGTTAGGTGTCAGCAGGTTGCTAAGCCAGCGACGTGATACTCTAATAAGCATGCACACACAAATGTAGGCTAAAATTGTCTATTTTTAATCAAACTGAATTATTTTTTTATGTATAATCAATATTTCTCTTGGCTGAATTGTTTCAGCTCATTAGTGTTTGGAAGAGACTGAGGAAAAGCTGCTCTCACTAAACACATGAGACATGTTAATGTAATCGACCGATACAAAAAGAATAAACACAGCTTCAAATGTCACATAGTATTTGATTAATACTCATAAACATGGCCCACTTTGTGTAATACTACTATGTTGTTTTGCTTACAGCAATCAGTTCTTAAACAGAATCACAGATGTGACATTTTTATGGTGTTGTCATTCAGTTCAGATCGCACTTTGATTGTCTTCTTAAGTCCATTCAACTTGAATCCAAATGCCAAATGTTTTTTTTTTCAATATAACAAGACAACACATATAACCAAAATATAATTTCTTAAAAAAAAAAAACAATAAACGGAAGTCAAATGTGGAAAAGAGACACATGTAGAGTTTTAAAAATAGAAAATGTAGTGATTTTGTCCTTGAATGGATCTCAGGAAATAGCTGGGTCATATTTTACCCCAAAAATAAGAAATTATGTTTTGCATAAAGGGTGAATTGAAATAAACTGGTGTAGGATTTACTTTAAAACAATTTCACTCAGAAATTGCTGGCAAATTTCACAAATAATTGCAAAGAAGCAACAAGCAACACAATAAATTAAATGTGAAATTAAGTGACTGAAATAATATTTTCTTGTAAATCTACTCCAATAATCTACAATAAAGTTTTATTTTATACAGATGTATGTATTCAGATTTGATTTCTTTAATTAAAGTATTTTGATGATGAACAAGATTGTTTTCGCATTATATAAATTTGGTGGAAATGTGCTTAATTGTTCAAACAAAATCTTCATGCAAAATATAATTTCTATTTATTTTCTTTTGGCATTTTTTTCACGAGATTCACCCCCTTTATGAATATTGATCCTATAGTTTTCATCTGGCTCAATGGTCATGGCACAGTTTGTGAACTCCTTACTGCATAGCTGATTACTGAACTCAATTTAGCATATATCATTAAGGACAGAGGATTAGCTTTAAAAAAATTCATAAAAATGATTCCTCCTTTAGTTTTCATTTCTACATAATTCACTGCGATACACAGCTGCGGTACGTTATGATAAGAAAATCACGGCTGAGGTTATCGAAGTCGGTAGCAGAAAGCACACTAAGAAAGACGGATTTGTCTCATAAAAGTTTCCGAAATCAATTCCAAGCAAGTCTATGGAGGTTTTTTTAAAAATCGTATTATGAAAACATCTAAAGCTTACAAATCTAATTTGCATAACCTAGACAATAAACTATAAAGTAGGGCTGCACGATAAATCGAAATGGATGCGCATGACAATCGCATTCGATTAATCGTGCAGCCCTACTATAAAGCTAAATGAAAACAGCACTTTTCTCGGTGCTGGAAATGCTACTCTCTCACATCAAATTAATGTTTCCTTTATAAAGGTGCTAAAGCATTTGCTGTCCTAATTTAACTGACATCTCCTGCACTACCTGAGCTAACCGTTCAGTTTCTCGTGAGAAATGCAAGCAGGAGGTGATTTCAGCCCAAATCTGCATGCGGAAGTTGTTCAATCACTCGGGAGCCGGTAGAAACGGCAGTGCGGGCCACTGGAGGAGGGTTTGGGCTCTTGATGGATGATCACGTCTCCTCTCCAGAACAGCAAACAAGCAGGAGGGAAAGCCTTGAGACCTCGACTTTGATTAGAGCCAAGCACAGAGGAAATACATCACACACCATCTTGACACACACTCACGTACACACGCCACAAGCAGTGCTGGTGAGATGAATCCCTGCAGAAAGACAGAGAAACAACAGACGTCACACACTCAGCTGGTTTGCCAGTTTTTCATGTCAGACGTTAAATATTAACCCTTCATCTATACTAGATGACAGAAATGTTATCCTCGATGTCCGCAGTCAGGGTCCAAAATTAACCTTTTTTTGCGAGAGAAAAGAGAAAATCACAAGCCATAAAAATTTCTAAGCATGCATGAAACTATATTTTGCATTTTTTGTCTAACCAAAACAGCTCGGCTACCAACAGTCTTTAAAATACCCTCTTTTATGTTCCACAAAAGAAAGTAATTTGAAATTACATGAGTGTGAGTAAATGATGATAGAATTTTCATTTTTGGGTGAACTATCCCTTTAGTGTTTGTTTGTTTGGAAATATGTTGAAATATGTTTTTAATGAAATTATACTATATATATATATTGCCGTTCAAAAGTTTGGGATCAGTAAGACTTGTAATGTTTTTTAAAGAAGTCTCATGCTCATCAAGGCTGTATTTATTTGATCAAAAATACAGAAAAAAACTGTAATCTTGCAAAATGTTATTACAATATAAAATAATGGTTTGCATTTTAATATCCTTTAAAATATAATTTATTTCTGTGATGAAAAGCAGAATTTCCATCAGCCATTACTCCAGTATAAAGTGTCACATGATCCTTAAGAAATCATTCTAATACTCTGATTTATTATTAGAATTATCAATGTTGGCAACAGTTGCGCTGCCAAATATTTTTTTGGAAACTGCAATACTTTTTTCAGGATTCTTTGATGAATAAAAAGTTAAAAAGAACAGCATTTATTCAAAATATAAATCTTTTCTAACAATATAAATCTTTGCTAGATGCTGAAAATACAGCTGCGCATCACAGAAATAAATTATATTTTAATGTATATTAAAATAGAAAAACTTTATTTTACATCATAATAATATTTCACAATATTACATTTTTTCCTGTATTTCTGATCAAATAAATGCAGCCTTGATGAGCACAAGAAACTCCTGTAAAAAACATAAAAAAATCGTTTTGACCGGTAGTGTGTATATATATATATATATATATATATATACTGTATATATACATATATAGTATAAATATAGTATTTTTTTATTCATATATTAGTATATGTTTTTTATATTATATATTTGTAGAAATGCGAAAATCACAAACCATAACAATTTCTAAGAATGCATGAAATTTTGCATTTTTTTTTCTATACACTGGGGCCCAAAAGTTTGAGACTGCATTGAAAATCTGGGTTTCAAACTCCAGAAATAAGTAATATTTTCACAAAATTTAAAACAAACAAAAAATGCTATAATGATGCAACACAAACTACCTTTGTGTGGCTGTGGGCTTCATATGTGTGTCTCCATGTCTGTGTATCCGGGCAGCATGTCTCCGTTCGAGCAGTTCTTCAACATCTTGTCCATGCTGGGGTCGTTGGTCTCTTTTCGCCGTCTTTGCATGCGCTGGTGCACCAGAGGCACAAAAAACATCACGATACCCCCCACTATTGGAGGAACACCAGCCAGATAAAATGCCACATGATAGTTTCCAAAATAGTCGTGAAGAAGTCCTGAGAAAGAAGACAAGACATAGAAAAAGAACATATGAGAGAGGAAACAGCATTTACAACGCATTTTAATTCTGCAACATGATGTATTTCTAAGTGAAAAAGAATATTCAATGAGGAAAAGTGCAGGCACTGGAGTTCAGCCTAAAGAGTTTTTTTTTTTTTTTTGCATCATTTGTGCCTTGATTTCTTAATTTTATGTTACATGATTTAATTAATTTCTTGCACATCAGAGTCA